AATTGTGAAACCGCCAATGTGCACATTTCAATTAAATTGAGTTTTCTTTGCTTAATCTATTCCACCATCCCGCTATTCAGCACTATTACAAATTATAACTATACCTGGCGGACGACGGCTGAAGTGACCTCAGAGAAAGTAAGGTCAGGGTATGGCATGTCACAGCAATATATCTCCCATAAGCAGATCCCGAAACTGTATACATCGCATTTTCGATTATACGGGTTTCCATTGAGAACCTGCAGCCAAAGTTTATTTGTGTAAAAATGAGGTTTGGTTCCAAACTTGATGATGCATTATCTTAATAGTACCTCAGGAGCCATGTAGCCAAGGGTGCCAGTTTCTCCTGTCATGTCATTAGGGTTAGATGCTTCAACTCTCGCAACTCCAAAATCTGCGATCTTGACAGTCCGGGTTTTGTCTAACAACATGTTTTCTGTCTTTACATCTCGGTGAACAATCTTCTGCGAATGAAGGTAACTCAACCTGAAAGCAACATAACAACAATCCAATATACGCTTTGTCTTCAAATACTACTAAAACCACGAGTAGGCAGGCAAAAGAAGAGAGAATATAATAATACCCTCTAGCGAGATCAAGAGCGAGCTGAACAACAATTTTAAATGTTAATTTTCTTCTTCTGTTCTTGATCAGGTAAGATTTTAAAGCACCACCTGGAAGATATTCAACAACAACACAACATATATTGTTTGGCATTGCTAATGGACCACTCTCTGTCTGCAACTGTAAACCTGATGCACCCATTGTTGCTCCTATAAACTGCAAAATTTCATTCATTGATGACCCAAATCTTATTTATTTCCTCATTATCTCTAACAATGGTAAAAAAAAAGGTAATTTCCAGAAGTAAAATATGAACCTTGGTAACATTAGGATGATCCAATTTATGCCAAACAGCAACCTCCTGAGCAAAATCAGCTCTCAAAGACACAATCTCAGCTTCTGACCTATGACCTTCTTCACCCCAATCAAGCAACTTCACTGCTCAATTTCACCACAATGATTAGCTCATTTCTTCACTTTAAATTCAACAACAGTAAAAAACAAAAAAAAGCTCCTTAGTTACTGCATTCAAGGGATCTATTATTTTCCCTTTTTTTTCCTTATAAAAATTTAATTTTTGAGAAAAAGAGAGATTGAGACAACAACAGCTGGAATCACATGAAAGATCCACAAAGCAAAGAATCATAATTATCCAAGTAGAGACCTTTCAAGTAGCTGAAGCACTTATGATAGCAAAACCCGTGTCGGCTTCACGGAGATCACAAGAATTGCTTCCACCCACTAAAGAAAAACTAAAACTAAAATCCAAAACAATTAATCTTAAAAATCCAAACTTTCTTTCAATCTAACAAGTTTCATAGTCAAAGAACACGAACACATAACTAAACTAATCAAAGTACAAAGTCTGTTTCGGATCCGACATTTCAAGTACAAATGTAGTAATCCATTCTAAAATTGAAGACTTTAGCATTTTCTCACAGTTACTACTAATAATATAAAATATAAAAGGGAAAGGAAGCTAGAACGACGGGTAGGTGACTAACCGGCAACATCTTGACCGTCGTAGATACCACGATGAACGGTACCAAAAGTGCCACGTGCAAGAACAGTCTTGATGATAAGTTTAGAAGGATCGATCTCCCACTCAAGTCTCTGTTTCCTCTTCCCAACAAATCCGCCGCCGTTTAGAGTGACAGGGGAAGAAGAAGCAGAGCCACCGATGGCGACGGCGGTTGTGTCTTCTTCATCTTTCTTCTTGTTCTTCTCTAAAGTCAAAGCTCTGCTTAAGTGTCTCTCTAGTTGCTCGTCTAAGCTTTTTAGATCAATCTGATCTGCTCTAACAAAACCATCGTTTCCTTCTTTCATTGTCTTCTTTTCTTAAGCAAGATCTTTGTTCTTGTTCTTGATTTTGGGTTTGAACAAGTTCGTCTTCTCTCAGATAATCAAACGCAGAGGAAAATGAAAAAGGGAAGATGAGAAGAGAAGGGAAGACCGCATGTGAGTGAGCACATGGTCTTGCCTCGACGCAAATGTATCTGTATTTACATTTCTTTTTTGTTTTCATAAAATAAATACTTTTTTGTTTTGTATTTTCCAAAAACAATAATCATCACTTATTATCAAAATAAGTGTTGGTACCAACCGTTTTTATTGACGATAATAGTGAGTGAGAAAGTTCGGCCCATTTATCTTGAAGTTCGGCCCATAAAAGTTTTCTATTGGTCATTTTTTGATTGATACTAGTGGATAGATTTGAGTTCATATAACACAAGTAAGGATTTGAGTTCCCTCATAACATCAATTTAGTAGTTTATTGATAGTATCATAGTATGTGAAACCAAGTTGGTGCTAGCATAGATCAAAATTAGAAGTATTATGAATGTATTCGTCGGGCAGAGCCACGCGATTGAAATATTGAGAATAATTAACCGATGTTAAAAGGGGACGACGAATTTTAACAGTATATAAGAAATATGAATCAGTTCACTCCTTATCAGCTAATTTTGAATTGAAAACATATAATCTACTAAGAAATGACTAATAAGTCAATTTGATTGACACGAAGAGATCGGATGTGTCATGTCTAAACAATTAACTTGACCAACTCTACTATGTATTGTTCTATTGTTAGCATTTAGAGTAAACTAAAAGGTGGATTCAACCATGTCTATACTTCTATTTTTGATAAATTCATGAACCATATCTATATTTTCACATTCACTTACACGTATGAGATACATATGATAATAAATCAGTTTGAGGAGTGAGGAATGGAACTTAAAGTGATGGTTAAGTGTATTGGTTGCTTTAAATTGCACGAAGCGTGGATGATTTTGTTGGAGAATCTACGTACCAAATGGCTCCATTGTCTATTGTCCCTACCAAAACCTTCACTATTCTTCTTAAAATCAATATTAAATATGTATTCTCTCAAATAAAGCATCACACAACTATGGTGCTCTTCTTCTTTTCTCTTTATTTATTTATTTATGTATTTTAATATCGTATGTTCGTAGTTACATCAACCAAATCATATTAAAAGGTCCTAAATGAACAAAAGCTAGAACTTCTATGCCGAAAATATGGGAAATGAATACCTTTTTGAATTTGGGAGTGGCCATAAGAAGCTCCTCAACTACAACTCTAATTTGGTATACTTTAAATTATATAGACCCACTTAGTTGCTTTATCTAAGAATTAAATAATTTGCACTCATCTCCCATGCGTGTTTTTCCTTTACTTAGAAGGAAATTAAATTTGAATATTTTTCTGAAAACCATTACAAAACACGGTCATGCTTGAAGACTTGTAGTCATGATATGTAGTGTAGCATGTTTTTAAAAAGCGTTTCGTGAATATATGTAACTATATAAATGGTCTCGGTTCAACATTTTGGATCACATTAAAATATGATCTTGATATATATATTCAGTCAGTTTCTGTAATTTTTTCAAGAACATTTGTTATATTGGAAGAAGAACATAAAAGATAAAGCAAATCAAAATCCTCATATATATGTGTATTTTTTTTAACCACGCAAAGTAAGAAGAGTATTATCTATTTATCTTATGTGTATTAAGACAAAGAAAAATGGTGGACCTATGATATGATTGCTTAGAGAGACACATAGAAAGAGAGAAAACGGTGGAGGGTTTGTTTTGGGTCCCTGACACCATTAAAGCCAGTAAGGGATTAATTAAGTTAAGTGTATCCACTTTTAATTAATCCCAATTTATACTATACGGATTACTTATATTAGCCTAATGGGTTTTGTATAATTTAAATATTTGGCGTGGTAATATTAAATGTTACTATGCTTGTATGATTGTGAGCAACCAGATCTCTCTTATCTGTACATGAAAGATTTGGTTCAGGTTACTAAATCATGGGTCTTCTACATCTATCAATATTGAATAGTATAGTTTTCAGATTTCTTTTTATTGTCAATGAAAATAATCTTGGGTATAATTATTACTAGCCAGTGCCATTTTCTGACAAGAGAGAACGTGTCTATTTCTTTTTTGAGGATTAATTAGGTTTAGATAATATTGAGACCAGCTTCTATGTGATAAATAATCTACTATCAAGTCATTGACTGACTTGGTAATCTTGGTGATGCAGGTTGTTCAAACGGGTTCTTAATGGTTTAGGTTGAAAATAAGCGAAATTATCTTCTTGTTTTTTTCTTCAAACAGAATTATCGTATACTATCTAGTATTTTTTTAAAAAATTTGACGTTATTTTATACTATCTAGTGTTGAGTTCAGAGTTACCTATTTTTCATGACAAGTTTAAAATTCAACTGTTGCCAAATTCCGTTGTTACAATAGATATATTCATCACAAATGTATCGTTTTAAGTACAACAGATACATCATTTTCCACGAAAGTGTTTTGGAGATCCATATGAAAATAGACCAACCAAAATGGAAGACAAAAACATTATTGTGAAACCCAAAGAAGATGAAAATGGAGGGTGCAAAAAGGTAAAAAGTAAAAAGTAAAAGAAGAAATGAGTTGGGGTTTGAATGGTCAAGCCACTGCAAACGAGTATTTGAGGAATGATTGGATCTTCTTCCTCTTCACATTGGATACTTTGACCTCTAAATGATTTTTAATAGCATATGTTGATCTTTCAACCAAAAGTAAATTATTTTCGGTTTAGTATATATACTAAATCAGCTAATCTTTCAAATATAAACAAACCATTATCAGGACTAGAAGATATGTTACTAAGTGGTTCGTATTAGTGATATCGTTATGTTACAACCCGAATTAATATCCGCATAATCCATAAAAGTTTATCGAAAAAGATAAACAACTATTTAAAATTTGGACCCATCAAATTCAGCTTATTTGCCATCAACATTTTTACCAAAAAAAAAAAGATACAGAGCTTATTGGATTTTTTATTTATTCTTTGTTCGTCTACAAAGCTTATTGGATTTGGTAAACACTGTGGCATCACTACACACACACACCTACACTTTAAACGCACGCACACATGTATGTTATGAGTTATGTATGATCAAGGTCAGTTTCGTCTTTTTCTCTTTTATATATCTTCTTCCTCGCTCATTTCTCTTTGCCTTAACCTCTCTCTGCTTTCTCCTTAGAAACTCTATTTGCTTCTCTTGCATTCCACTTCTGTGAGTTTCTCTATTCTTCAGTTTTCGAGATATATTCTTTTAGAGATAAAACAAGAACGAGCAAAGCAATAACATGCGGTGGTGGTTGAGTCTTTCTGCTTATGTTTTTCGTACACTAGTCTTCTGTCGTGTGATTCTGTAAACTGAGATCTTGCTTTAGACACAGCTCTTTTTCTTTGTGTGTGTAATGGGGTGGTCTTCTTTTTTCTTCACAGTCCATTGCTTTGTCCGCCAAATTATTTGAGATACTCTGGTTTGTTATTTTGGATACTCTGTTTTGGTAAGGAATCAGTTGGTGAGAAAGTAGTTATGGTTTGTCAATCAGCGGGACAGACAAGATTTCGAACACTCAAACACGAACACGGTATCTCAGGAAACATAGTAGTTAGAGTCATTGCATGCTTTCAACCTCTCCAAGATTGCCAGGTTTCTTTCATCTTTTTTACTTGTTCTTGTTTCATGTGTTTATGTTCTAGTTAACTTATAAAAAAAATTGTATGTACATTTTCTAATTGGCTTTGATGTTGTGTATCTTGCAGGCTGAATATTTTCGTCAATTGTTGAAGCCCGTCACGTAGAGTAGCTGGATATTTCTCCTTCTTATTTCAAGCCTTAGTTTCTTTTTTTATTCATTTAGTTGGTAAGTTCAAGACTTTGCACACATAATCTTTAATATATTTTTCTTCTGGCCTCCCATTCTTGATTAGAAGTTAGTTAGCTGATTTGTTTGAGTTGATGATGATGTCATCTGTTTTTGGACAGTTGATTTGTTTAGTGTTGGATGGGACAAGATCGTGGTTTGTGGTTTCCTAGTCAGCGGTTGAGCTCATTGACTTCCCTACCTCTGTCTCATCTCGGGAATCAAGACTTGAATCCATGCGGCGACATGTTTTCTACTCGTGGATCTTATCAAGTTTCTACTCAATCCTATTTTGATGGCTCTTATGGTTGGGTTCATGGACCATCCCACTTGCAGCAGCAGTTCTTGCCTCCTCTAAATAAATGTATGAAGCATGTACCTCTTAAAGTAGACGGTTTTATATCTAAAGCTGATGGCGGTCAATGTAGTCAGAAGAGGTTCCTTGTGTTTGATCAGTCTGGTGATCCGACGACTCTGCTTGTTACTTCCGATATCCGGAAATCTTTTGAGACCCTGAAACAGCCTGTCTGTCCTGATATGAAGGAAGAAATCCAAAGAAGCAACAAAGATTTGTTTGTTTGTCAAGGAATGCATGGAAATAGCGAACCGGATTTGAAGGAGGATACGGAAGAACTAAATGCTCTGCTTTACTCGGAAGGTGAGAGTGATTATTGTTCTGAAGAAGATGAGGTTACAAGCTCAGACCATTCCCCAAGCATTGTAGTATCAGCCCATGAGGGCCAAAAAGCATTTCTTGGAAGCTATGGACAATCATTAAATGCTAAAAAGAGAAAGACACTCGAGAGCGCAACGCCTTTTCTTGAAACCTCGAATGAGAATATGCGGGACGCTGAATCGAGCTGTGGTAGTTGTGACAATGACAACACAGGGATTAGTTTCTTAAAACGTTCAAAGACGTCTAGCAAGAAGATAGGAGAAGAGAAGATATTTGAGACTGTAAGCCTTTTGCGCAGTATAGTCCCCGGGGAGGAACTGGTGGACCCGATCTTAGTCATCGATAGAGCCATTGATTACCTGAAATCATTGAAGATGGAAGTCAAAAATCGAGGACATGGGACTCTTTGTTTGCATGATATCTAAGAAATTAGCAATGATATGTGGACTTGTTTTCTAAACAAAGTAGTAGACATATTGGACCATGGTACTCTTGTCAAGCTACAAAGGATCAGCTTGGTGCTCATTGGAAGAGAAACCAAACATTGTTTTGGACTTTGGAGTTGCGAGAGAAGGAATCGGATTAATATGCAAATTGAATATTTGTTGATGATTAAGCTGGATTGATAAATTTTTATTTTAGTCGTTTAGCTGTTTGTTATATCATGTATGTTACTTGATTCTACCTTTTCTATAAGATTTTGTAGGTGTGGTTTTTATTGTTCATGCGTGAGTCGTGTGGACGAGAGAATCATATATGGGAAAAGCTGAATAACCATTTTCATTGTTTACATCTTCTATAATAAGAAAGAGTTTTTTTTTCCACATTTGGTTCTCTCCTTAGGTAACACATGTACTCTTTCATTTCTACTTTGTTTATTTTAAACTATTATAAGTTTATAATTTTCTGTCAATCTTAATTCAATAAAATCATTTTTTTTACCCCACTGGTACACTTAATATGTATTTTCAAATCCAAATCTTTCTTTAATTTTTTTTACCAAAAATATCATTTATTTACTAACACATACATGATAGTTTTTTTTTGGTAAGCAGCACATACATGATAGTTGATACATCTATTTCACACATCTTATCTACATTTTTTTGTTCAAATTTCCTACATTTATGGAGGACTCACAAAAATGCCCCCTTTTTAATACCCCTTTTCAAAAATGCCCCCTCCCTAATAGTTTCCCTGAAATTGACCATTTTACCCTTAATGAGTAACCAAATTGACCAATTGAGGAACCAAATTGACGAAGACAAAATTGGGGAACGACGAACCAAAAATCTCGGCGGCTCTCGTCACCTTCACAGCCGACGAACAAAAGGTGATGAGATCTTAGATCCGTCGATATCTTCATCTTAGATCCGTCGAGTTCAATCGACGAGGATCAATCGAGTCTGTAATCAAAAATTTGTGACTCATCCCAATCTGCATCAATTAGGTTCGAATCGCTTCTGAAATCTGAACCGTTTAGATCCAAAAGTTCATCGAATTCGTCTTCAAATCTGAATTGATTAATTAAGAGCTTCGATTCTGTGTTTATCTATTTTCTCGAATTTGTCTTGCTTGAAAATTATAATTCGTGTTACCTTTAAAAACTTTCTAAAACCATTGTAAAAATTTCTTCTTCATCTTCTCACTGTATTTATGTTCTTCAGTAACTATTGTACACTATTAGTGAAATAATTTTGATTTACCGTGTTTTTTGTGAAATTGTAAACCTTTAAAAAATATTGTAAAACCATGAAGAACTTTATAAATACCTTGTGAACTATCATAAAGATACATATGTTTAACATTATAATACATTATCTTTTTTATCAGGTCGTAATGATTGAGTTGAATTGCATATCTGGTGTTTGGAAATTGAAAAATAACAATTGTTGGGATTTTAAATTTGATGTTGAAAGAGGAGGGTCTCTTACTTTTATCAATGAGGATACGTGTTTCACTGATTTGTGTGCTGTTGTTATAGAAGATTTTGGAATTGATGTCGGTATTAATATAGTGAAACTCAGTTATTCATTACCCTCTACAAAAGACATGCCTCCTATGTATATTAGAAATGATAGGCAAGTGCAAGCATTTATAAAAAAGCTTGCGGAATTCAGAGGCGGTATTCAGCTATGTGTAACTGTTGAGAAGGTATTTTACCAACATTCAATTTTGTAAACTGGTTTAACAAATTTGTAAACAGTTTTAATTATCTTTACAGGGTAAAACAAGCAGTAATCCAATGATGGGGACAAGCAACATCTCAATTAGTAGTGAGAGCAATACAGATCCTTATTCTACATATCAAGTCATGAATGAGGTAAAACAGTAAAGAAACCTTGTAAATTAGTAAACAAATCATTAAAATAGCTTGTAAATAAGTTAACAAAGATTCAAAATAACTTGTAAATTTGCAAAAATTATATTACAGGTACAAATGTATTCTGCAAACCCTGCTCCTATAACTTTTGTTTCAGCTCCTGCATGTCATGTCATGAATGAGGTATTTTCAATTCCCTTACAAATTCTTTGAAAATCAGTAAAAAATCTTTTTAAAATACCTTGTAAAACCCTTTTAAAAACCCTTTTTAGTACACCTTTTAAAATAACTTGTAAATCCTTTTAAAATACCTTGTAAAACAATTCAAATCCAAATTTTTTTTGCTTTTGCAGATGGGATTTGACTCAACCATCCCGGAGAGGGTTAGAACTGAAACGGAATCCTTCTCTAATATATCTGAAGGTTCAGCTCCTGTAGGTGGTTCTACTATTTCTGCATCTTCAAATACTTTGTATTGTGGAAAGTTGTTCAAGGACAAAAAGGAAATGGGAAGGCAGATGCAGTTATTTGCAATGGAGAATAACTTCGAGTTCCGGACTAAGAAATCAGACTCAACACGGTATACTCTTCGTTGCATTGATGAAAAATGTAGTTGGAAGTTACGTGCAACTAGGGTTAAGGCATCAGATAGTTTTATTATTAAAAAGTATGTTAGTGAGCACTGTTGTGATTCTTCGCTAAGGAAGGTTAATCATCGCCAAGCAACTGCTAGGACATTAGGAGAAATGGTAAGTAATCATTTTCGTGGAGAGAAGCTTGCGCTTAAACCTAAACAACTGATAGAAAAATTCAGACACGACAATGGGATTGGAGTTTCTTATTCAAAAGCGTGGAGAGCTAAAGATCATGCAATCGATGTTGCTAGGGGTACACCTGAAGATGGTTATGAGTTCTTGCCAATGTGGATGTACATGGTAAATGAGAAGAATCCTGGTTCTGCAACCTTCATTGAGGTCGATCCTGACAACAAATTTAAGTACGCATTTCTTGCTTTTGGTCCGTCAATTAGAGGGTTTAAATTGATGAGAAAAGTGATTTGTATTGACGGTGCTCATTTGAAATCAAATTTTAAAGGGACTTTGCTTGGTGCCTCAGCACAAGATGGTGACTTTCATTTGTATCCTATTGCATTTGGCGTAGTTGATTCAGAAAATGATGCTTCGTGGGACTGGTTTATGAAGTGTTTGAAGAAAATTATCCCGGATGAACCTGATTTAGTTTTTGTGTCAGATCATGCATCATCAATTGCCAATGCTCTTATTGTTAATTATCCACTTGCTCATCATGGGATCTGCATTTTTCATTTGGAGAAAAACCTTGAGACTGGGTTTAAGTCATCCTCTACGCTTATTCCAGTTATGAAAGATGCAGCTTATGCTTACACAAGGTTTGATTTTGAACAGTTGTTCCATGAACTGTCTCTTGCTGACAACAAGATGGCACAATATCTGTGGGATTTGGATGTCAAAAAATGGTCACGTGCTTATGCACCTGCCAATCGATACAACATTATGACATCAAACTTAGCTGAGTCTTTGAATTCTCTGTTGAAAGAAAGCCGTGAGTATCCAATTGTCTGTTTGTTTGATACAATTAGGTCTACTCTTACCAGATGGTTCAATGAACGACATGAGAAGGGTACTCGTAATAGGCATTCAGTTACTGTGAATGTGATGAAGCAAGTAAAGACACTGTATGATTCTACTGCACGCTGGCTTGAAGTGTCACAAGTGAATCAACACGTGTTTGAAGTGAAAGGAGGTACGTTGGTTCATGTTGTGAATTTAGAAACAAGAGACTGCACGTGTTGTGTGTTCAATATCACGAAAATCCCGTGTGCTCATGCAATAGCGGCTGCAAAACATATTAATCTTAACGAATATGATTATGTTGATACCTTATACTCCAACAAAAGGTATGTCATATTCTAACTTTACAGGTATGTTACTATATAAAACAAATTATAAAACTGTATTTTAAAATTTTTTATAACCATTAAAAACCTTGTAAATCAATTTCTTATCAAAATCATCAAAAAACCTTGTAAAATATTATAAAAACATTGTGAAACCCTTATCATGTCTTGTAAAAACTTGTTCAACCTCTAAAAACCTTGTAAGACCTAAAAAAAACTTCTGATTGTCTTGCAAACCTTTGAAAACTCTTACAATTTTTTAAAATTACATCTTTGTTTGACAGTTGGACGCTAGCATATTCAGAGAGTATATATCCCGTTGGTGATAGGACACAATGGGAGGTTCCAGCCGATGTTGCTGCTTTTGTTTGTCGACCACCATCTTCTCGTGTTCCTAGTGGCAGGCCTAAGAAAAAGAGAATACCTAGTGGATGGGAGTATGGAAAATCTGCAACAAATTACAAATGTCGTCGGTGTGGTCAAAATGGACACAACAAAAGTAGTTGTGTGGCTCCAATATAGTTTTTATTTTATTTTATTACATAACATATTAAGTATTTTATGACTTTTTTAAAAAATATTATTGAAAAACTTTCATAACTTGTTATAAAACTTTTTTTACGTTTATTCTTGGAGAAAGGTGTTACTACGTTTTCAAAAAGTTGTTACACTTGTAAGATCTATATAAAATCTTTTTTTTTTTTTTTTTCGTCAAAATAGTAATTATATTAACTGATTAATGTCATTACAAGTTTGATTTAAAAGCCACATCGGCTGGAAAACAGAATCAGCATAATAAGATGAAGAAATACATCCAAATTTGGCCAGAACATGAGCAGCTTGATTACCCTCTCTCCCCACATATTTAAATTGAACACAAGAGAATTTTGAAGCCCAATAACGTATATCATCTAGGAGATTGCTTAAAGAACTGTTTTTGATATTTCTGTTGATAATATTGATAAGTATTTCACAATCTCCTTCAAAAACGACGTTTGTAAAACCCCGACTCCATGTTTGTTGTAACGCAGCTAGAAGAGCCTTTGTTTCCGCTTCCAAAGGAGTGGCCGCATGATCCAGAAGTAAAGAACCCCAAACTTTTGGAAATCCTTGGTAATCTCTGATGATCCATCCACCTATTGCCTGTAGATTATGAATATGGAAACCTGCATCAAAATTGCATTTAACATAGTGTTGGATAGGTGCTGTCCACTTTTTCGTATAATGACTGGGTTGCCGTTGTGTTGTTGACAAAAATCTTTGTTGTCTAGTAGCCTCAACCCATTCTTTAGTTTCCGCCTGCGCTTGTAAAACCGTTTTTGAAACACTTTCCCGAAACTTGTTGAAAATTATATTGTTCCTCGATTTCCATATTCGCCAAAGTAGCCAGAAAGGTAGAAGTTTTTGAACATCTGTCAAGGAGTTGTTCTGTATGAGATTTAGAATATTGGAGATGTTTTCCTCCACATCTTCAGACACCCCGTGAAGCCTATAAAACTCTGTATTCGATAATCTCCACATCAC